GGGGGGTGTGCTGTTCTCACTGGAGGTTTGCTGTTTATTGTTGAAAATAAAATAGATGCTGTTTTGAATGTGTCCTAAGTCCCCTGAAGCCGATCTTCATAACGGTGCCCACCCAGGAGCAGGTTCCTGGGGCATGTGGTCCTTCTGTGTTTAACTGGAAGACCCACCAAGCTTCCCTCAGTGGCTGCACCGTGTGCATTCCCATCAACCATGTGCGAGGCTCCAGGGTCACACTCCTGCCAGTACTTACTCTCCTAACTACACCCGCCCCAGAACGGGTGCGGTGCTGCCTGTGGTGGTTTCGGTTTGCATCCTAATGCCTGATGACTGCTTACTGACCATTTGTATACTGTAGATTTACTTTTCAGCCTATAGCCCTTTAATGTACAGTCACAAAGACAAGCAGGTGAACATAAGAGTGAGTTAAAGACAAGGACACGAATTGCGGAGAACGTCCCTCACGCTTCTTAAGGTCTGAACTTCTCTTGAATGGTGTAGCCATTTGGGAAGTAAGCTCCTGCCTTATGAATGGATTCTGGTGGGTTGTATATGTATGTGTGATGCTCACATTTTTGTCATTTTATTGGCTAGCTGTGTCTTTAGCTCTGCATATCTGAGCGATCCTTGGTTACAGGTGAATTTTCTGGAATTAGGGATGGGGCAGAAGGAAAACTGGAAAAGACTTTCCATTTTATGCCCATGTGTAGGACACGGGGAACTAAAAGCTTCAAGGTATTTCCCAGGCCCTGCCCCTCCTGCTGGCCACAGAGTCCTCAATCCCATCCCACAGTTGTGAGAGGCTCTACTGCACCTCGATGCTGAAGCTCACCCTGAAGATGGTTCATATTTGCCCCGATGTGTCCTGTCTGAAGCTGGGAGCTGGATTGGGGAAGGGGGACACAAACTTCCCCACTTTTGTCCTTGAACCCCAAGTACCGTCTGGGATGTCCTGGCCCAGGTATGCCGTCCCCCAGGAGCTTCCACTTGTGTGGTTTCCTCTGCTGCCCCCTTTATTTTGCTGCTCACACCGGGCTGTGTGTGAACCTGGCCTGGAGTGCATTTCTGAGTTGGGTTTGGAAGGGTGGGTCCAGCTGCTATTCCAAGTGCTGCTGTTTCATATGTGAGGCATCTGCAGAGGAGGAAGTGTGGTCATAGCTCCCCCTGTGGTTCATTCGTTTTAGTAAAAACTCATCTAAGTTACATTCAGTCTCACATGGTAGGTTAGCAGCCTGGTTTTCCCTTTTTTAAGTGAATATCTGGGAGAAATACTTTGGACCTGTGCAGATACCATGTTTTTGCTTAAACTTTTGCCCACTAGCTTTGGCATGTGGTGCCCCGGTAATGGTGATGTTGCTTTTCTCATTCCTCCCGCACGTTAGTTGGAACCTGCTGTGAGGAAGAGCTGTCTCTTCTCCCCTTAGTTACTTATTTATAACATATAGACTCGTGGATATTTATTTTAGGGCTGTAGTCCAATGTTGTTACTGACTTGCCCAAGTTGCTTAACTCTGGCCGTCGAGCTCTTTGAGGTTGGCCCTTACTCCCTTTTGACATTGCTTTTTGGCTTTGTTTCTCACACTTCATTATGTCCTAGAGTACAGGATGCTCCGGGCTCGTCTGTTTTCCCTGCCTAGGCCCTGGAGTCGGCTTTCTCCAAGGAGCCCCCTAGTGCCTTTTTTTGAAGAATGCCATCTAGAAACCAAAATCGGGATGCTAGGTGTGCTCATTGCTACTGTGGCTGGTCCCGCACATACACTGATACATTTCTTGCTGTGTCCGTGTGTCCCTCCAGCCCAGCACCACAGGATTCATTCTTGCCATCACTCTTTTATTTCTAACCAGGAAACGTGACTCTCATTATCTACAGAAATTTGCTTATCTGTTCCACCCTAGTTACATGGAAGGTGACTGCAGAATTGCTGCGCCGTACCCCTGTGCAGAACACATTTGCCAGTGAGAGTACAGAGTTTCTTTTGGTTGTCAGTGTTTACTCAAAACATTCCCCAAAGCTACTGAGGTCCACTCCTTCCCCACCCCCTGCAGCGTGGTCATGGGGTTCATGCGTAACAGTTCAAGTCCCTGGCTGCTGTATGTAGTCCATCTTTCTATGTCCTGGTGGATTTTTTAAAAAATTTACATTTGGTATAATTCACTCCTTGCGATGTGCAGTTCTGTGGAGCTTGACAAATGTGTACAAACAGGTCACCACCATAGTTTCAATCACCCCCCAAACTTTATCAGGCTGACCCTTTATAGCTAACCCTCCCCTGCATTCCCTCCAACCTGGCAACAATCGATAGGTTCTGTCTGCACTTTTATTTTTTCGAGAGTGTCTCGTAGATGGAGTCATACAACACGGAGTCTTGGGCCTGGTTTCTTTCGTTTACCAAAAGGCACCTAAGATTTCTCATGACGTGTGTCGGGAGTTCGCTTCTTTTCGTTGCTGAGTAGTCCAGTGCACAGGTGTACCTTTTGCTCCTCTCGCCACCAGCTGAAGGACACTGGAGCGGTGCCATTTTTTGCGACTGAATAAAACTGCTACAAACATTCACTTGCTCATTTTTGTGTAACACGTTTTCTTGGTAAATTTCTAGGGTTGCTGGGTCATAAGGTAGGTATATGTCTAATTTTAGAAGAAACTGCCAAATGTTCTGGCTGTTTGCACTTGGCAGTACCAATTTTTATTGTTTTTTAAATTGAGCAATTCTGGGTGCATAGTGGTGCCTTGTGGTTTTAATTTGTGTTTCTCTCACGACTCGTGATGTTCAGCACCTTTCCATGTTTATTTGCTGTCTTTATGTCTTTTTGATAAAGTTGTTTGCTCAAACCTGTCACTGATTTGTTTTTTCTTTTGTTTGGTTTTGAGAGTTCTTTTATATACGTGGATACGAGTCCTTTGTCAGATGTGACTTGCGAGTATTTTTTGCACCTTTGTCAAAAATTAGTTGTGTGGGTCTGTTTCTGGGTTCTCTGTTCTGTCCGAGTGATCTGTGTGTCTGCCTTTCATAGGTGTCACAGTAGAGCTTTATAGTAAGTTTTGAAATTAGGCCGTGTGAGTCCTCCAGCTTCGTTTGCCTCACAGTTGTGGCTGTTGAAGTTCCTTTGCCTGTGCCTATATGTTTTATCATGAGCTTGTGGTGTCTACAAAAAAACCTGCTGGGATTTTCATTGGGATTAAGTTTTAATCAGTTTCATCACTTTTAGTACAAAGATACTGCACATAATATTTTGTTAGATTTAAACCTAAGTATTTCATTTCTGAGAGTGCTATTTAAATAGTATTTTTCAAATTTCAAATTTTATTGTTTATTACTAAGTAGAAATACAATTGATTTTTATATATCCATCTTGTATCCTGTAACCTTGAACTCATGCTTTCCGTGCATTCTGAAAGATTCCCAGCCATTATTTTGAAATATCCAAGATGTGTTACATTCTAAGCATTTACAAGTAAGTAGTAATGAAAGTAATTTGAGGAAGAGGTGGGTGGTAGTCACAGTGTCTCTGTGCCCTGTGTTCCCACTGCACTCTGTTCCTACAGGTTTTTGCACAGCACATGGAATTGTAACGACCCGTTTTCTTGTCTGTGAGCTAAAGTGTGAGCTGGAACAAGCCCAGGGCAGGACCTGGGCCAGACTTGCTAAAACGTATCCCCAGCACTCAGCCTAGTGGGGTGTATGGCAGGTGCTCAGCAGAAATGCTTTGCGTCAGAGGATGAATAATTTCAAGGCAGGGTTTTGAACTAATAGGTACCACGCTCTGTGCTCAGTGCCACAAGGGTTTTACAGTTTTCGGATTTCACTCACCAGTACGATTAAAAAGAAGTTGACCTTGTATGGAATTATTTAAAAACCAATAAGCATTTCATAAAGTAAAAGGTATTTTAACACTGTGAAACTAGGAAACACGTAATAGGATACTGTTTTCCTCTTAGGAAAGGCCTCCGGACAGGCGTGGTCCCGGCCGAGATTTGAGGAGCGCCGGTCGGCGGGAGGGGCTT